AGACAATCTTCTGAAGTATTTTGTGGTAGAGAAAAGAATTCATGGTTAAACCAGTTACTGGAGGTCATCCAGATGGGGTTGGGGAAAGGAGGTCCTATTTTTAAAAAGGGGGATGGTGTTATACAAGATTAATAGGACACAGACTTTTTTTTTAAGTTTAACTTTATTAATGTCAGACCTTAGAATTTTTCTCCTAAATTTCCTCTGGATCAGCAAAAAGTATTTTTGATGAATGCCAAATGAGCTTCTGTGATATTTTTGCTTACACTGCTTTTTGCCTTTGGAACATCTCTTTAATAATTAAGCTTTAAACGATGCAAGTAATTAGTGTTTTATTCATGATATACCCAAAAGGGTATATATGTTTCCACAGGGCAAGGTTGGGTTGAATTTTTTCTGTTCATAAATTCTAATTATTATTTTAAGAAATCGTTTGTGATTTCATTTAAATTAAACCCATAATAAACTATCTATATAAATGTTTGATTCAGGGCTGGTTCTAATGGTAGTTATATGTCAGGGAAGGCAGAAATGTGAAGGAGATATCTTTATCTGTACTCATTAATCTCCAGCATAGAAATTGTTATTGTTCACTTATGTTTTCTCCATGGGAGTGGAGGCAGAGCTAACAGCTGAAAAAAGTAGAATAGATTCAGAACAACAATGATGGAAAGAAGCGTTTCATTTATAGGTTTCAGTTTATGGAAAAATTTGACATTGAGATAAATTCATTTTCAATATTTTGAAAACCATTGTGATAAAGTGATGTTGGCCATTGAATAAGCAATTTTATGTTGTTTGTTTGTTGTTTTTTTTTACAATATTTTTGTGTATTTGAATTATGTCAGTAATAGTTTTCTAATCTTAATAACACATTTTTCATACAAATTAGGGGCATATATACGTTTCTACTTCTTTCTGCTTCTTTTTATTCAAGATTTTTCCAGCTGTTACAATAACTATTCACATTTCTCAATGAATAAATTGCATAGAACTAAAATGAAATGAAATAAACTTTGTTCAGCTATACAAAAATGGATTGCCTCTACCTAGACCTGCCAAGGCTGGGTGTCCCACCTGAAGCAAAAGTCCTGCAAGTACAGTTCCTTACACCTTTTAGGCACAGGGCCATCTGACCACGACAAAGCAGCAATCCCTCCCTCATACAGAAAACAATAATACATAACAGGAAGAAAAAATAGGATATCCTTCATCCATGATTGAACTGCTAACACAGCATTTATCTTACTTGATTGCAACAGAAACAACAGATAACAAAAAAGTTTTAACATAATCAGCAAACAGTTGAAAATAAACAGAGCTCTAAATCCCAAGAGTGCAAAATGAGAAAAGCTTAGTAAACATTTCTGGTATTATTCACTAAACTATCATTAAAAACGGTATTATGGTCTATGCACTGGTCACTCACCTCTCTGTGCTTATGTTATTGAGAGACACTTCTACTGATAGGCTCATATTGTAAATTTATTTTAAAAATAGATACTATATTTACGCCTATTTTATAAAGAACTATTTATATCGTGTCTCGCAGCATAAATCCCAATAATGAATTACTTGGAGCTTTTCTGTTGCTTTAAGGTTCACCAATTCGGCTTTATCTCTCAGTTTGCTAGATAGTCAGACTATTTGTTGGCTCCTTTAGAAACTGATCATTGATTGGTTGGTTAGTAGAGGGAGCGAGGGAGGAGTTTGAGCTCTACGCTGACAGTAGACAGACAGGAGAAGATCACAGCCTGCCCAGTGTGGTGCACAGCAGAACCTCAGTAAGATGTCCAGTTATTTTGGCAGGTTTAATTTTAGGGGGTAAGACATTTGTTTGAGGGGGAACTGCCTGACTAAAGGGATACACACCTATTGAGGTAGTTTGTTTATTTTTTGTGCAAAACTAACTGTACTGATCATCATTTTATTCTAGAACAGAGCAATACTATCACCCTTGATTTGCACCACTAGACTGCGTGTCCAAACTAACAAACTCACATGCACAGTCTAAAACATGTTATGAAAGTACGCCACATTCATTTCCATATTCATGGATCCAGTAATAAACCTAATTAGGACCAGTTTAACTTGTTGCTCTATGTACATTTCATAAATTAAACATATATTTACATGTTGGCATAACTTCTTCACTTCTGAATGCAGCCCAAGTAGACAGCTCTTATCTTTTTAACCATTAAATTAGTGATAAAATGGGCTAAACAATAACATGGGCTAAGATGTTTCACGTATTTATTCAAAAATTTAAAAGGGGTGCAATGCTTAGTTTAGTTAGTTTACAGCCTTCAGTTACTTTTTTTATGTTTTAAACCAGAACTAAGGTTCTTAAACCAGAGACTACTTAACAGTTTGTGAACTAATGTATTACTATTCAATAACTTATGATCTAAAGGTTCTGATATTCTTATGACCCAGTCCAAATATTCCAGCATTAGAATTTGGATCGAATGGAATAGTAAACAAATTCCTTACCAGGCTGCTTTATTGGAAGCAAGTCTCAGATCTGTTTGATTTCATCAGTGCAAAAAAAAAGAGACAATGATGATGCTGATGTTCTGTATATCATAGAAAAGAAAGCTAATTCTCCTTAAATTAAAAAAGTGAAATATCATGGGAAGATGCAATATTTTCTCATCTGCTGTTTTTTCCTAAAAAAAAATTAAATTGTTTCGGTTTTTGGGGGCTTTTTGTGCTCATTTGCCAGCAAAGTTTCTTTCTCATCTTCCATGAACACCCCCCCCCCCTCAGAATAAACATCGCCAGATGGACGGCTGCTGCTCTCTTTGGTCCCGCTGGCAGATCAACCAACAATCCCATAATGCTCCTCAGAGAGCTGCAGAGTGCTGCATGCCAGGAACACTCTGCCGTCTAACTCCCACAGACACCTTGTTCAGTGGGCGACTGGTTAAAACACACACACTTCTAGTTGTTGACTGAAGATACTAATTAAAACATTAAAATTTAATGCCCATCTGTCACTCTATCCTTCCGGAGGTGTATGCGTATGTAAACCACTTGCGGTTTAAAAAAAAAAGGAAGGATTTGTCTACTGTCTGCTTCCAGGAAGTCTGATCAAAGCGTTTGAAAAAGAACAAAACCTCATTGGTATCGGTCACACATCTGGAGGTATCAGGATGAGGGTCGCAGAGTTGGGCTCCAAGAGGCTCCTGTAGAAACTCTTCCTCTTGGTAGATTAGCATCAGAAATGTTAGAATGTTATCATAATGTTGGAAAGAGGACCCAGATGCGGGACACAGGAAATTACAGAACAAACATGTTTAGAATTTCTTCAAATAGAAGGTGCAGACACACCTTAGAATGATAGTTGAAGTAAGGGTTGGAAAATTATCATACTGAACAATAGATGGAGGGAAACAAACACTAACTGGTGCTCAGATGTTTACTCACAGGCATCCCGGACTTAATATTATAATATTTGATGATGCATTTGAATTGTTTTTTTTCCATGGATGATCATTTAGCAGACAACGTCACAAAATACAATTTTAAACAAACTGTATTCAACTTTGAATTTTTCTCAGAAGTACATGCAAACCTACTAATATCTACTGTTAATAAATGTGTTTGAAAAACACCCGTTTTAAAAGAATTGGTATGGACTTAGCTTGTTGGCATAGTCCTTGAATTTTCCACATCCTTGAGCATCAAGGATTAATATCAGATTAATAAATGACATCTAATGTGTGCATAAAATCATAACGTCTTCTTGAGTAACCATAAGAGTTTTAAGACTAAATCCTACTGTCTCTCTTTAGAAGCAAAGAAATTACACAGGCTGAAACAACACTAACACTACCGTAGCTTTAACTGAGTCAAAAATGGAAGCTGCTTAAACACCATTGTCTTTGTGAATGGCGAAGCATTTCAAGGAGCTGAAAGCTTTTCAATAAACAGGGAAGCAGCTCAAGTATACCTACAATCTATAGCAACCAATATAAATGAACCAAATAGCTTTTAGAGAAAAGGTATAGTTAACTGTTAAGCACGGTGGTGGCAGCATCATATTGGTTTACAAAGTTCTATGTATTTTAGCTTCCCCTGATACAGCAGCTAAAGTATCTAAATTTGGACCGAAGTAGGAGTTCTGAGGAACAATGTTACTCAAACTATTTATGAAATGAAAGCTAACATTACAATTAAGGACGTGACTCAACTTCACTCCAAATTGAAAACAGTTGATTATATTTTAAAGGTTTTTTTTAGTGCACAGTGTTATCCAGGTTAAATTAGCCTTACCATTTTAATGGAGTGATGAAATATCAAGCAAGTATTAGCAGGTGGTTGTAGTTAGGGCTGAAACAATTAATCGGGATAATCATGATTAATCGATTATTGAAATAATCGTTAACTAATTCAATGATCGATTAATTGTTAACTGGAGTATAGAGACTCTAAAACATGCCTTTAGCTGATAGAGCAACCCAATTAGAGCAGTAATTACAGAAAAATTGTGAAAAAATATAAAAATATTGTGCATTTAAGATAAAAACAAACTTTTATATGTCAATATGATCTATGCAGAATTCCACAGGTCAAAAGGTTTTAGTTTCACCTGGTTCAATTCTATATAAAATCATCTTTAAGGAACCTTTGGCTTTGCGATTATTGATTAATTAATCGAAAAAATAATCAACAGAATAATTAAATATTATAATAATTTGTTATAATTAGTTGCAGCTCTAGTTGTAATTTCACTGTGACTTCAAATGTGTATTTTTTTATATACCTGTAGGTGGAGTTATGCAAATTAAGTGTATTTGGGTCTGAATTAATCATGTTTCTACCTGTAGAAAATCTGAAAGGAATCTTTTGCTGAAATGCCGTGTTTTTAATTTTTTTCTAAATATTTCAGCTGTGATGTTACTGAATAATTCTGCATTGGAACAAGAAGATCCACCATTAGGATGACACACATGCAAGTGATGAGTGAATCCAAACTAATGGCAGATGTGTATCTTAAACCATGTTGATAGAAGCTTTATTTTAACATGAAAAATAAAACAGAGAGATTTAACAATACAGTAAATAAAAACCATGACCCCCTCCCTTTATCCTAAATGGATTGAAGTTTTTAAAAGTGGGCCTATAGGATGTCCACCTGATTCGTTCCATCTAAGCATGACCTGACTTGATTTATCTCAGCCGACCCACTGGATCATTTCTTCTCCACCCTGCATCAATACAGATTCCATGCATCTATCAATACCAGGGCATAGCAATTCAGATTTAACATGGTATCCAGTCCTTTGCAAACTTCCTGCAATGATTGGATATTTTGCTTTATAAGGAGGTACTTTGTTATAGTCTGTTACCAAGGTTCTTATAAACATTCTGCTCTGCATTGGATGTTTTTTTACCTCCTATATTTTGGATGAATTAGTCTTTATAACTTCGGTTCTCACCATCCGTCTGTTTAAAACATATTTTCAATTTATTATGTCACATCTGTGGAACTACTCAGAAAAACAGTTTTATTGGAGAATAGAATTTCCACTCCAGATTTTCCAGCTCTGTTAGCTGATGATCTAGAGTGTAGGTTAGTAGATGAGCATCATATCATGTCAGATCAATTTGCTGATTTTTTTATAGACACATCTTTCTTGGCCGTGAGACTTTTTTCCTCCAGTTTTCTTCTTTACTGAAGCATATTTAATCAGATAATTGTGCTCTACTTTATTTCCAGCTGTTACCCTATGTTTTTCTAACACAAAGGCCTATCCCTCTTCAGTGTGTTGAATGAAACTGAAAGGGAATTGGTGGAGAAATTAGTCATGAAACCACATCTATCTACATCTGTCCGTGTTTGGTTGGTGATAAGAGCAAGCTGTTAATGGGTTTTTTATTCCTCCGCTGTTTCTGTCAGGCACCGGAGTGGATGATGCTGTGGGTGAGGTGTCCATCCATGTGGAGGTTTTCACTCATCCAAACACTGGGGAACATAAAGTCACAGTGAAAGGTATTTTTTTTTTATTATTTGCTTTAACAATCAATTTGTTCACATATGCAAAAATAGAAATCAATTTTTCCAGAAGCTTATTTCTTTTCTGCATTGTTGGATTTTATTCTTTGTTTATTATGTGATCCACCAATACAAAGACATATGTGATCAGAATTTAGCAGGACAAGGACACATGATTTTCACTATTAAGAAATAATCAGTATACTGCATTATTACTATACAGCTACTTACTATACAGCTTTTGTTGTAAACAAAGTTTCAAGTCTTGGAGTTATATTTCTTATAGTTTTGTACATCAGGAAATTGAAATTCTGGCAGGCTGTTGTTCTTTGAAGAAAAAGATGTAACACTTCTTGATAATTTCACATCACTGATTATTTTTTAACACACATTATTGGTGAGATTTAGGCTTAGACTTTGACTAGGCCAGTCAGAAACTTCAACTTGATTTGATTAAAACCAGTCCACGGTAGTGGATGGGTGTGTGGGATTGTTTTCCTGCTGGAAGCTGAAACCTCTCCTTTGGTATCAGTGTTTTAAAGCTGCTCACAGGCTTCGTCCCAGGAGATATCTGAGTAAATGAAGAATAATTGTGCATTTTTCTTAATTTTTAATCTGCAGTATGGTCAGGCTTTTGGATAATGTTTTATTGGAATGTCCCAGTACAACATTTTATGATACGATACCGATTGTGCAGCTTTGAATATTGACTAATACCAATATTTACCCGTTACGATATCAGCATGAATCATACATACTTACATATTTACATATGTACATATTTTAATATTAAACATCTTACATAGTTACATATTTTAATGTACGGAACAATAGAAAAGGCTTTCTTGAGTGATATTTCTCAGACAGTTAAAAGTAGCATCAACTATGAGAACAACTGACCCATTTCTTTTTAATCAAAATAATATATAAGACAAAGTTATATAACCCTTAATCAAAAGTAGATAGAGGCAAAGTGCTTCTATGAGCTTTCGAATATCTGAGATGTTAGACAACCTTAATGTTTTATAATTTTATAACCCTTAACTCCTCCAGGACCTCCCTGATTTGTTCATCGTTTCCGATGATGCTGCTTACTATTATGATCTGTAATAGTTTTTACACCCTTAATTCACTCTGATTTTGTCTTTTAATTCCTGAAGCAGATTTAAATTAATTCAGTATAAGAATCACATGAGAAAAGAATTAGATTTTAGGACTTACTTCCTGTGGGTGTTAATCAGTGAAAATAAAAATAATCTGTGTGCCGTAAAAATGGTTTTATCTGTTAACAACAGATGTCTCCTATTTTCTCGCACTTAATTTTACATGAGCTTTGTATGCACTCAGGAACAATGTGTTCCAAGTCTCCACCACCCCCACTTTCTGTTCATTAAAGAAGCTACAAGAACTCAGTTCACCAGTAGCTCATTTTAATCTCTCTTACAAGCCAAGGCTCGACTAAAATAAAGCGTCTAATGTTTCTCTAACAAACCTCTTTACATAACAGCTGGATTAAGGTATATATTAAATTACACATAGATCTGCATTTATCCATCCCTAATAGCACTGTCTTTTATTAATGTGTATCAGATTTAAAGACAAATAATAATATAATGGACATGAAAACATATTGAAAGAACTGCATTATCCTCCCTAAGTTTCTGTCTGTGAATAAGATGCAGAATTTATTCAGATAGAAGCAGGATTTTCCTTTTCATTCTCTGCTTCTCACGACTCCACTGTCACACATTGGGTTTTTTTTTTCCCATATGAGCCTCTTCCTCATTGTCACCCACACCTTCCCCCTCACTTTCTCTCTTCTTCATCTCCACTCTGTCTCTGCCTCAGTTGTGGCTGCCAACGACCTGAGGTGGCAGACGCAGGGAATATTCCGCCCATTTGTAGAGGTCTACATCATCGGCCCCCACCTGAGCGACAAGAAGCGGAAGTACGCGACCAAGTCGAAGAACAACAGCTGGGCTCCTAAATACAATGAAACCTTCACTTTGTACGTAGATATCAATAGTTTTACCAGCGGTTTGTGATCTGTGGGGCTTATATAACGAGCTCTAACTCTTCCACAGCACATTGAGCAACGAGGTGGGTCCGGAGTGCTATGAGCTGCAGGTGTGTGTGAAAGACTACTGCTTCGCCCGTGAGGACCGAACCGTGGGCATGTCGGTCCTTCAGCTGAAGGACATGGTCTCTAAGGGCAGCGCCGCCTGCTGGCTGCCGCTGGGTAAACGCATCCACATGGATGAGACGGGCCTCACTGTCCTGCGCATCCTCTCCCAACGCAACAACGATGATGTGGCCAAGGAGTTCGTCAAGCTCAAGTCGGACCAGCGCTCCGCAGAGGAGGGCCGTGGCTAAACAAGTCTGTTTGGGGTTTAAAATGCTGCGTCTGGAGCCCCAGGACTCTCCTGGTACACTGCAAGTCACTGCCGAGTAATCCAGTGTTGTAAAAGCACATACAAGACAGGAGTCAACACACACTCCGTACTGTAAATACATCTATTTCAGTGGAGAAGACACAAAGCAAAGAGAAGCACCACAGAGTCCACCAGTGTCTTTACTGTTGCCGATGTGTTTATCCCAAATTTTTATTAACAGCAGAGTTTCCTTATTTAAGGTGGAGGAACACAAACTTCTCTCTTGGTCGGGTTGAGAATTATCTTGTAGCCTCTAAATACTTTCATCCTTCTCACTTTTTCCTTTTTTAGTTTGTGCCCTCTCATCCCTTCGCTGGTATGTTCTCAGTCAGAGAAGAACCCGCAAGTGCCAACAGATAACTGCTGAAATATGCCAAGAGCTTTCCCGAACACAAAAGGGCCAGCTGTCCATTCAAAACACATCAGAACCAAGCTCAAAAATTACAGATATTACAAGAAAAATCAGCACTTTTCGTTAATAGTTCAACTTTATTACTAATTAATCTAGAGCTATATTTATATTTCAGTAATTCTAGATAACCTTATATACATATATATATATATATATATAAATTACTTAAAAAGGAAATAGATGAACTTACAGGGTTATTTGATGGACATGTGGTCATTGAAAGATTGTTCTTGTCTGTCTTTCTGTCTGTGGACCCTAAAGCAGCACACTGCCTGACACTCTGAATACCTTCTGTTCCGTTGACCCTCTGTCTGTGTCTTGTTTAAGGACGGCATGGAGAGAGAAATCTGATGAAAGCACACATCTGAGCACTGGGATTTATCACATGGTATATAAATATGTGTGTGTCTCTGAGTGAGTGAGTGAGCATCATTTGTGGTTGTTGACGGTTACCTGCCAGTGTAATCATAGAGAAGCCATTTCTATGTTAATTATATTTGGAGGTTCTGTTAATTTTTTATACGTTTGTTTACATTTTTAAGGCCAAAATCTTTTTTTTATTAATATTATTTTGTTTTTTTTCTAACCTTTGTGTTTTACTGCAAACATTCCTTGTAGCCTTCTCTTGGTCTATCAGCAGTGCATTACTGAGGAGGGATTAAATCCCATCTCATTTTCTTAAAGAAAAAAAAAGCAACTAGCTGCCCAGTAATATGGGGATTATTATATAAAAACACCTGCATTGAGATATTTTGCTAAGTAGCCTCGTGAGAGATATATCTCACATCCTGCCCCCCTGAGTTAGCATAGATCTGCACTGATCCAACACATTTAATATTCTTTTTCACATTTTGTCACATCCCAACTGCAGACTCTGATGTGTTTAAGAGGAGTTCTGACAAAAATAGTTGTTTTTGTGAAGTGAAAGAAAATAATATGTAGAGTGCTGTGCATTTGTGCATTTGAGCTTCTTCTCCTGAATCGACAATTTGTAGAACCAGTTTCCCTGAAATTACAGCTATGTCTGTAACCCCAGTTTTTTTTTTTTGTTTTTTTTTTTTACATCACGGAGCCAATTCATCCAGCTCAAGCTCATTCAGAGTGAATATAGATCACATGTGAGTCAGTACTATCACTGATAAAGCAGTAATGGATACATTTCAAATCGGTGGGGTAAAATGAAGTCAGTAGAAAAGGGGTAAATGTGTTTGGAGTTTCCTGCTCAGGAATGAACTCCAACAATTTCTTAAATCTTTTGAAACCTGCAACTGTTTTTCTCTCAGGTTTAATCTGTATTTAGCTCCCTCCATTTTCCAATTATGACCAGCTTTTACCTGTTACCTAATATGTCCAAAGCATCTTCTTCTACATTTGCTGTGGCCCCCAAATCTGGACCTCACATTATTTCCAGAATCTTCCTTTTTCTACTCATTGATTCTCTCCGAGCTGTTGAGTGCAGCTCCCCCAGAGCTACCATGGGCATCTTGATTCTGCATACTAATGATATTCTTCTGTTGCCTGTGGGTTTAGATGGACCAACATATCTTAGCATGTTTGCAGTTGCATCATACATATTCTGTTTTATGATTGGTAAATTTAACTTATTCTTGTGATAAGCTTTTTTAGGTGGGTTTTTTTTTCACAGAACAGCTGGATTTAGAGTGAGATAAATGAAACGCTTGGATTCGACTGATGAGGTGACTTCTGAGGGCAAATGGTTGTACTTGAGTTTATTTTGGAGAATCGGGGTAAAGAGAAAACAAATGCACAGTTTCCAGATTTATATTTGCAATCAATTTTTTAAATCCTGTATCATTTTTTAATCCAATTCACAATCAAGCACTATTTACTGTTTGTCTATTATATAAAAAATACACAGACGTTTGCAGTTGTAAGTTGACAACATGGGGAAAAGTTCAGAGGGTTTTATTACTTTTACAAAGCTTTACCCAAGAATCCAGACTGAGAAGAAATACCTCCGCTAAAGGGCTGAACCAGAACTGGTCTGGATATGATATTTAAAAGAGGACATTGATGTCCACAGTCTACAGAGACTTTTAAAGTCGTTTCTCACCCACAGTCTTGGTTGCACCACTAAAAACCTATTATTCATCTGATCTGTTAAGTTTTTCATTCTGTAGAATAACAGAAAAATACCTTAACAGCTAAACATCTGTCCACCTTTAAAGATTTTATTCTTATGACTTATTGCCATTGAACTCAAAACCATTGAAATAAATTATACATATATATTTATAAAAGGTTTGTTTGTGTACCAACTATAGTCAATGTTGATAATGGAGATTTTGTAGGACTCAAAACTACATTTGTAGATGTATTTATGGGTTCTAAAGAATTAAAAAAGGACCTATAATGGAACAAAGTGGACCAATTAAACTCTATGCATCTGATCTCTAAACTCCAAGTAGATGAGTCCGTTTTGAAGCAGTCTTATGTTTACATGGTGGATTATTAGTGTAATTATTGCAGCACAAGTGTCCGATATGTTGTAGAAGTTGTCTTTTTTTTTTTTTTTTTCCTCTCTCTCCTGGGGCCAAAAATCAAAGCCGTTGAGACTGAAATTATGTTAAAGTAGAATGGGATATGAAACAGAAAGGGATTGTTGTAAATAGCTGCCATGTAAAACAAAACAAAAAATGTCCGAATACGTGAAGTGAAGTTTGCTGCTCTGTTGTAGACTTGAATTTCGTGCAGACTGACCTGATCAGGTTTTGATTAGAAACATAGGAAGACCGTGTACATGATGGAGATGAATTACAAGCCATATGCATCTGCTTTACGGCGTGATTAGGGGCTAAATGAATATTATGTACGTTTCCAACCTTCACTCTGGCAGAATATACATTACACCGTTTGCTCTATAAATGTCTAAAGATTTATAAGGGTGTAACTCTCTGGCATGTACAAGGTCTTTTTATTCAACGAGAACCTCTGCACACTAGTTTAAAAGACAAAATAAGAGGTAGACAACCATCAGATAGCTGGAAATGCCACGAAAATCTTTATTTACTGCTGTTGACAATGATTCTCTTCAGTCGAGGAAGTTCTTCCTCCTTCTGAGGCTAAGTTTGTGCTGGGCTACCAGGTTTGAGGCTGAAGATGTTAGTAGATGAAGCACAATGAAAAGCACACGCACACACTGGCAGACAGACATGCATGATCATCCCCTCTCTGTCCAGGTGAGCCACAAGGTGGCGCCGGTTGTGTACTTCCAGAATCGGTGCATGATAAGAAGCAAACAAAAACAGAAAACATGTGTTGTGCCAGCACGCATAATTATTTGATGTTTAACGCCAACTGTTGTCTTCTATATTTTGATATTTGAATATTGTTTTCTATTTTTCAAATGTTTGTGAATATATAAATATGTATTACTGATGATGTGTAGTGGGTACAAAGTACTGGCATGAGAATTTTTTTACACAAAAGATGTTTCTAATTTTGTTTTTGTTTTTATTCTGGTGGTTATTACTGGGGGCCGAGGCACCTGAGACGACAGTCTGTGTTTCTGCTACCAATAAAATATGTAAAACAAGACTCTTTCCCTCTCGCCTGTCACTGTGTGCAAAGATGCAGCTTGATGTTCCAGGATACATATGGTGGCACACCTGGTAAGATAATGTGTAGAAAGCCTTAATCGATAATCATCTTATTCTAGCAATTTTATACCAAAGATTTGGTGAAAAAGAAAAAACATCCTCTAATTTGAATAAATCCAAGGATAAAATTGTACTGTAATTCTTTTAAACACACAAACTTTGGCTTCCCTATAAATGTATGCAATGACCTTAAGCCAATAGGAGAGCGCTTTAAAGGATCTTAAGAGATACTGAAATGTTATAGAAAATCTGTTCTTTGTTAGTTTTATGTTCTATTTTCCTTCAGCTCACAGGTTTTTCTATAGGATTTAAGTCTAGGAGCAGAGTTGGTCATAAAAAATTTCCACTTTGAGTCTAATGAACCATTTCTGTGTTTACATGTTTAGGATATTTGACCTGGTAAATTACCCATTTCGTCCAAGGCAGTATGGCAGGTCTTGCCGGATTCTAACAATGCTCCAGGGCCTTTGAAAAAAGGAAAAAAAAAAAAAAAAAAACGGCCCAGAGCACAGATCCTTAAATGTACTAAATAGTGAATATAAGACGGGTTTCTATTTTATAATTTGCTTTATATGGAAAAAAGGTCCATCAACTCCTCTGACCAGAGCAGATATTAGCAGAGTTTTAGTTTACAACTGGTTTGTAGGCGAGATCCTAATGTTTTAAAAACTGAATAGGACCAAAAATGCCTCCAACTGCTCCTTATCCTCAATGTGCAATGCAGCAAAGTAGACTTAGATCCTTGTCTGTTGGAAAGTACCCCCCTCAAAAAAAGAAAAAAAAAAAACACTGTTATATTACGCAGGAGAATAGAGGTACAGACATGTTTTATGCCTTGTGAGTAAAGAATAAAGAGAAAAAACTACTTATTTAGGTACTTTTGGGGTCAGAGGTTCTGTAGTTTTTAACTTTTTATATTTACCCAATTCAGCTTCAAATGCCAGGCCTTTTTCTCTCAGAGAAAAGATTATCAAATTATTTATCTGAAGGCTTTCTTACTTATTATCCGTCTTTTTTGGGTCCTCATTTGTCATTATTCACAAGTGCCCGTCTAGGGCTACAAAAAACAAAATAAAGATTAATAATCTTGGATAAATTTCTTTTGCAGGAATGTTTTTAACCTGAGACCTTTTAAACTAATAATGAGCAGTTTGTTGGACATTTTAGAGAATCCCAGAAAGCTTGTTTAATTTTTGAGGGCAAATATGTGGCTCCACTTTTAGGCTTTGCGTAGAAAAGAGATCTTGAGGGAGTCTGGGATGACTAATTCCTCTGCACTGAGGGCAGTGGGAGGTGAGTAGGGAAAAGTGACAGGGAACACTCTTCTCACGTCCATCAGGAGCTGCGGAGGCTGACTGTCAGAACGGCCTTTGGCGAGCTCCTAGGGGTGGGAAAGATGGATAAAACTGGCCTGAAGTGAAATATTTCAATGAATCAACATGCTAGACCTTAGAGATGTAGGCAGTACCTGGACGCTACGGATGAAATTTATAGAGACTTTTTCATCAAGGTCACTGTGAGGAGTGTACAGGGTCAGAATCTTCATAATCTATGAGGAAAAATTAAATAAAGGTTTTAGACAGAGAAAATATATTTTTTTACATTTCTTTCAGAACTGAGAATCAGACCCACCTGGGTGCTGGAGAGAGCAGTGCAGGTCCGGACTATAGCCTGAGCATCTGCATCAGTCTTTTTCCCCACCTGCAGCAGCTGAGCTGCCTGGATGAGAGGCTCCAGTGTGGCCACAGCGCCACCTGCCTGCAGACTACGGCTGCGCAGCCATTCCTCCAGAACACTGACATTGTAGCTGAGAAGATGACAAACATCTTTAGGAGAATACAATTTGGAAGTGAAAGTGCCATGTTTTGGCAGCTACATTTACCTCACACCTACTGCCAAAAGAATAGTCCAAATGTAATCTATTTCCTATGTGAAAACTGAACTTAAATCATTCTGAATGTTTCCTATAATCACAGAATTCTTCGCAGTTTTAAATTTCATGTGAATAACCAGCACAATAATGCATCACTGTAAAGAGAAGGAAATAGTGGCTAAATATTTTTATTAATTTAAATAAATGAACACTAGTTCCCCTTTGTTTCCCAGTACTTTTATGAATTTTGTATTTCCCTGTACTTATTCCCTTTATCCGCGGAAGGAAAGTATCTCCACAGCACACTGCAAAAAAATTGAAATCTAAATAAGTAATTTTTTTCTTGCAATATGTGCATTTTTTCCTCGAATTGAGGAGGTAATTTAGAGACTTTGCCAATGGAAAAACACAATATACATTTAAAATAATAAAACACAATTGTATTGTCTTATTTCAAGTGCATATTATCTAATTATCTTATTTTAAGGCTAAAAATAGTCATTCCATTGGTAAATTATCTTATTTACCTACTCAAATGAATGGTAAATACACTTAATTTAAAATATTTCTTCTCATTTTTAGATGGTTTTTGCAGTGCATGATGTGCACCAAATACTTTGGTTTTTGGTCTCATCATACTGGTGCATAACTGTTAAGAGAAACATAAGTCAAACGTGGTTTTCTGCTTTTCTAATAATGGGGACATCCATTCAAATATGTCCCTTTGTATACAATCTAACTCTGATATTTGAAAAAGCAACAAGTCCTGTCAGTTTGTCAGAGGTAATCAGGTAAGATGAGAACAAAAATCCAACTTTATGTCTGAGATTTAATGTGCCTGAGAATCAACAGTCCACATGAGGCCCAACACACCATCGTCATTGTGTAACATGGTGGCAGCTGGACACTCAGTAAGGCCAGAGAAACTGGTAAGAGTAAAGAGATCAAAAGAGGCTAATCTTAAAGGGAAAAAAATCTATCAGGATGCAAAAGATTTGAGAATGAGGCAAATATTGACCTTCCAGCTGAACATCATCCATAAACATACAGCCAGAGCTACAGTGGCTATAAACTGATGTTCACAGATGCTATCCATCCAGTCTGAGCTTGAACTAGAAAAATGGTCACAAGGTTCTATGTCTATATGAGTACAGATGATAGAAACATAAAACTAAAGACTTGGTGATACTAAAAAGTTTTTACTCGGTGGGCTGAATCATATCCACATTTTTCATATTTGTTTAAGTGTTTTTGAAAAACATGTACGGTTTCCCTCGCCATATATCCAATACCTGGTGTTGGTTTATCATATTAAATCCCATTAGATATGTAGTCGTTTAGTGCAAAATTAAATGACTACAGGGGGTAGAACCTGCTCCAAATATATAAATGAGCAGCAAATACAAATAGTATTACAAAGACAAAAATGAGGCAGGCAAACAGAACTACTACAGAACAGAACTACCAAAAACTCATTTATGTAAAATCAAACTGTACCATGTTTTGGTACCTACATTGTGACAGAGAGAGAGTGGAAAAGTGGCTGATATTCTATAGCAGACATGAAGCTACTGCTACAGTAAACAAAGCTGATTTAAAAATGGCCGATTGAAGGCGAACTGAGAGGCCATCGGCAGGAATACTACAAGTCTGAGCAAGCATCTAGATAAATTCAAGAGTTTTTTTGCAAAGATAAAAAGTGCACAATTTTTAACAGCCTCAGATCCACGGCTACAGCTCCGACATTTGGCACCGTTAGCATTCATTAATAGCTCGTTGTCTGCAGCCTGCAACATGAAGCAGCAGCAGCATCATCATCTGCTTCAGGTAAATAAGCTTAGTGTTTAAAATGAGAATTGCATGGGACTGAAAAAAGGGTACAGTTGCAAAATCTCACTGATTCACGGGTACATGTATCAGTACTATAATGGCTTTAATGAGAACAGTATATGCTAAAGAAAAAAACTGCAATGAGAGAAAAAGAAAAAAGTTGTGAACGCAACACCTGCTGCAAAACATAAATGTTCCTTAGCAAAAACAAACAGGATGCCAAAACAGAGATCATTTGGAGGGAAGAGAGAAAAAAAGCAGTTTTCCTCTCAATCTTTTTCTTTTACAAACACTTAATTTCTCGATATTGGTATTTACCAATTGTTTTTGCATCTTCAAAGATTTTTTACTTTGTAGTTGATGTGTTATTCCAATTTCTGTGTTTGCAATACTTTTTATATTATATAACACACACGTGCTGTGCATTTTTTGCATTTGCAGAATGTTTGCACCTCTCACTAACCATAGATAAGCCTGTATTGATACCTCCTCAGTTCATGTTGCTGACCTGCATCAGTTCACATAATTAATTACAGTAAGGAGTGGTTTCATACCGTATTTGCATGCCACGACTCCAGGAGCACACGTCTTTCCTCAGCAGCAGGTTGTTGAGAGCACAGGCACAGATGAGGTAGGTCATTTGCTTAAAAGCCTGCTCTGTCAGACTGTGGGGCAGGGACTGGCGGCTCATGGCTGAGTGGAGGGTTCTGAGCTGCCTCAACACGGACGCCATGGTGGGAGCGTCGGCTCCAACCGGTCGAGGGTCTGAGCCTGCCCGTCTCCTGGATACAACCTGTTTCACAGCAGAGCCGGACAGACCGGCAATGGTCTCGCTCTCTAGAAGCGCTGGGACTGAGGAAGAGAAAAAGAAAGAAATTCTAAAGTTTAGTGGAGGGACGATCACTGGGACCAACACAACAACGTCACAGTAGAATTACCTATGAGTTTCTGCAGCCGTGTCTCAGTAATGGACAGCAGCTGCTGATAGGCCTGGATACAGAGGTCACTCAGGGAACGGATCAGGTCCTTCAGGTCGGTTGTCATGGGAACCATGTCATCTGACTCCAGACCCTGACAGCAATTAAAATCAGTCAAACACAGAGGATTTCATCCACAAAAACCACAAGCAGACCGTTTACATAAAAACCCAAAACAAACAGAAATGTCAGTTTAATCACCTGAAAAATATTTGGATATCTAAAATACCTGTTTCGAGGAGTGCTGGACCAACAGGTCATGCAATAGACTAACATTTTTCAGCCACAGAGCAGTCATATCTAGATCATTTGTTTGCTTCTGCAAAAGAAAAGTGTTGATAGAAATAGAACATTAGAAAACACCTCAGGCACAGGAAGTAATGCATCAATTTAACAACGTTGTAAACATTTTATCATTTGAAGTGGATTTCGCTGTGCCTCAAGTTGGTTGAAGTAGCCTTTTCCAAGATGCCTCTTTTCCTGAGAAGCAGTCTGCCTCTATTATTACATTACTACTTTTAGGTTCTGGCACATGTGGAAAGGTCAAAGCTCAGGCTACCTTCAGCGCAGCCTTCATGGCCACCAGGGCAGCGCTGCACAGGGAGTGAGCTCGAGCTTGGTCTCCACTGCAGTCGGCCTGACGGATACAGAGGAAGATCACGCTGGCTGGTAGACCGGGAGGCAGATCCAGCGCGCATTCAGGTCGAATGTCTGAAGGAGGGTAAGAGGAACGATGGTGATGTTAAAAAAGACCAAATAATTATCATGCCACTCAAACTGTGGTCGTTTTGTCAGCGTTCAGTGTGTCTGCACTCAAAGGGGAGATGAAATAAACCTTCTCCATATTGCTACAGTTCAAACCTCGTCTCAGATACATCTAAGTAGGCCTGCAAATCCTTTTTAATTTATAAAAAAAAAAAATAAACCATGGTAGTTGATTAGTTTTTGCTGAACTTTGCTAGAAATACCAGACTGTCTTTTTCTTTATTTCTCTACAAGCTGGCCAACCTGTTGGTTATTTTACATCCCATGGAAATCTCTTGGCTCTTAATTTCAGTCAGGTAAAACTAACTAAGATCTAAAACTAAAGAGCAGTTTTTTTGTCTTTTCAAAGCCATTTGATTTTTAAATCCATCTAGTTGGGTCACCCAAAGACATTCCTAAGGTTTTGCATGAGGAATTACTCGTCACCTTAGCTGTACCTCTGCATCATACGGTAATTGGACCAATGTTTCTTGAAGGACCTGTTGTCGTCTTACTTTCTGTTCACCCTTGTTGTACCGTTCTTGCTGCAGAAATACATCCCGTAGCATGATGCTGCCAACACCATAGTGGGGATGTTTCTCAAAAAGGGATAGTTTAATCAGAGCAGATATTGTCATTTCCCCTGGACTGACAATCTCTAATGTGCATTTTCAGCCAAATTAAAACAGAATGCCATAATCCTTTAAGGTGGTTAGTCTATAACAGAGCTTTCCAGATCCGGACCCAGCTGCTGGCTAATCTGGACCCAACCTGATTTAAAACATTCATAAATTACCGCATGTTGTCCGACGACAGTGTCTAATTTCACTTCTGACGTAAAGCCCTCCAGAGCGCTCAGGAACAGGCTACACTTTATGCAAATTATCCAATGAGTTTTGACAGTCTGGGTCATTGCGGTGAGCCACTTTTAGACACAGCAGGCAAACCTGTGGCAAGCCGGGTGGTGCGAAAGGAGGAGAATACGAAAAGAAAAAGAAAGCAGAGAGAGTGTGGATTGCTGGAAGAACTGCGGTGAACTGGTAATGGTGTGCTCAAAGATGACCCTGCACATTTTGAGTATGTTTGGCTCAACCTGCTGCTGTGAAGCAGGATCCTCCCCCATGAACAGAATCAAAAATAAATATCCATCCAGGCTCACGAAGGAGCACCTTAATATGTGCTTGAGCATGGCTTTGTCTCCATTCAAACCCAGGTTTAAAGCCTTGCAGGGCAGCCTAAAGCCCACTGCTCTCATTAAGACAGAAAAAATAAAGATTTGATGTTTTTTATTTAAATATTCAATGTATAACACGGATGCATAAAAACCTCATTTTATTTCAGTGTTAAATTCTGTTTAAAGAAACAGATAATTAAAAATGTCTCCAGACCTTTACGTGTTGATGATTTTCTTTATTTAGACCCCGCTGATTTTCAATTGGTTACCCCTGCTTTATAATAAAGGTCTGATAGGTAAAGCAGACCAGCTCCAAATAGGAACTTATTTTAAGGCTTTTTACTTTGCATTTCAAGGGGGACCAAGAAAAAATGTGGAAGGTTTTTGAATACAATGAACCTCACCTGTAATGAGGTTCTTGATGAGTTTGGTTTCGTCTCTTTTCCTGCACTCCAGCAAACCAGAGACTGCTGCTGGTTTAAGCTGAGCAGGACAGATGGTCTCTGTAGTCGGAGCTGACGAAGAAACTGGGAAGAAAAAAAAATATCTTAACATGACTGAAACAGAGGGAAAAAGTAAAAACAAAGGAAACTGAATCTGAATGACGGAAGTAAAATCACTGCAGGGAGTTCAGGGGACGTCTTACCTTGCGTCAGCAGATGTCTGAGACCAGTCATATTTCTCAGCTCCTTCAGCTCCCTCCGCAGCCTCATGCACTCAAACTCTCTGGCTTCTAGAAGCTCCCACAGATACTTTAGGAAGAGACATTTACAGTTTTAACTTGAGGTTCTCTATATGTAGTTTTTCACAGGAGAAGCAGCTGCTTGGCTATAACCTTCAGATAAGATCTAAATAACTCAAATGAAAAGGTCCCAATTACTACTGTCCAGATGTGGTTCAGTATGAATAAATATGCACATAAAGAAAAGAGGACACCGAAGAACGATTAGCCAATATGCAAGTGCATTAAATGACATTTAGATGCGATACAGATGAAAGCCCACCCGTTTCTTTGCAGCAGAGGAAGCAGAGCAGATCGTCTGGCTGAGCTGGTTCTTCAGAACCTCGACTTCTTCCTTCCACTGACTCTGCTGCTTCTGCAGCTGGCTCTCCAGAAACCTGACACAAACACCACAACCTATTAAACTCCACTGCTGTTAACTTCATGATTAAATGAAATAAAGATATAAATTACACTGAAAAAATTTTCATTCATCTTAACACTTTTCCACATTTTTTAAATGATCCTTTCATGCATATCGGTTTATATGACAGAATACAAACAGAACATGATCGAGAAGCTGAATAGAAATCTTGTTTTTTTTTTAAGGAAAAAAAGTGTTGCATCTGTTGGTATTTATGCCTTTTACTACATACTATTTAAAAGAAATGGTGTGCATACAGTTGTCAGCCAGTTAAGCAAAGTCCACTGTGTGCAACATAAATATAAATGCAGGGGTTCTACAAGAACCTCGGATTTTTAGAGAAAGGTAGTGAACAAACAGGATCATGAAGACAATGAACACAGCAGATGGGTCGGCCAGAAGGTTGGGAAAGCATGTTTAGATTAATAAGCTAACATTTCAAACATTTAAACATTTAACGGAGCACTGCTAATTTCACTGTCCAAAAATGAAAAAAATAAAAGAAAAAAGTGTGAATGATTAATTATAAAATCGGAAAAAGACAAAAACTATGGGTGGGATGCAGAAAGCCTCAGACAAACAGGAAAACTTTGCAGCATATAATGCAGATATGCATCATCTGGTCTATATGAAGAGTAATGTGTAAAAAGTATAAAGAATTCCAGCTTGGCAAATTCTAAAAGCAAGAACAAATTCAGAAAGAAGTGCTCGGGTCACCCCGCAGTTTGGTTTGAATGTGCCAAAAAAAAAAAAAAAAAAAAAAAAAAACAGTTAAAGATAAACACCATTGCATGGTGATGGCAGCATAATGCTATGGGCAGGTTTATCTTCCTCTAGAACAACCCGAAACATAAAGTCAGAGCTAAAATGGAAAGGCTTAGATCAAAACATGATCTATACATTTTATATTCAGTTTATTTATGTAGCACCTATTCACAATACATATCAAGGCACAGATAATACTGTCAAATTGGTTAGGAAAACCAGTTAGTTGCATCCAATCATTGACATGCAAAACATGCTGCTCCTGGAACTGTTCCCCTCCAGCCAGTGTGGCTGAGCAGGATGTCTTTTACCAAATTTAAACTAGATTAAAAATAAATAAATAAAAAAAGGTCTAGACGTGCAAAAATTGACTTGGATGTAACCCAAAATAGTACTGGTTCTACAAGCAATCCGAACTTGTTGCTTCATTACATAAATTCCTGGTTAGAGCAAAAAAAAAAAAAAAAAAAGTGCTTATTGTGTTTATTGTGTCACAAAATGTGATAAAAAAGCAAGCGATGTAAATATCCTCCCTAGCTCGAGCGTAAAATACAACACAAAGCAAAATGACTGACTTGTTGGCAACTCGTACGGCATCATAGGCATACTCCAGGTCCTCTACTTTCTTCTTCACAGCTGGGTCTTTGGCCACATCCATCTTCTCCATCAGTTGATCCTGTCAAATCAAACATGAAATGTGTCATAAAATGCTCTGTGCACAAGTTTAAAAAAGTTCCTTCTTATGCGTTTCCTCACCAGTGGTCCTTCTGAGCTGCATACCGAAAGCCCCCTCTCCAGAGTGGGGGACGTCACGCTGATCCTGCGCTGCTCCTCCGGGGAAGGGAACGCAGATGGGAAGGGGGATACTGAGCGAGGAGTGGAGGTTGGAGAAAGAGGCTCAAAGTTCAGACTCAGTGCAGAGTCTGTCCTTCTGTGTCCCATGGCCCTCTGCGATGGGAGGAGAGAAACATATCAAGCTAATGAGCTGGAGTGTTGGAGCAACTTATCCTGTAAGGGGGGCTGTGAACCTCAGAGAGCAGGTTCATCTCCCTCAGGTTGTCGTATCTCTGCTCCAGTCGGCTGAACTCCCTCAGGAGCCCTTGGTACTTCATCTTCTCCTCATCCAGTTCGGACTGTAGAGCCGCGCTGGCCTGAAGTACAGCCTTTTGCACAAACTCTGCATCCACATTGAGAGCGAGAGAGAAGTTTCAGAAATGACTGAGAAGAAAACGATTGATGCAGAGAAGTGAAGCTGCACCTTCTTGTGTTTTCTCTTTCTCATGTAGGAGAGCAGTAAGATCTTCCTTCTCCTTGCAAACTTCTTCCTTGTCTCGCTGTAATTCTTGCAACTCCTTCAACAATGTGATGAGAGCAAAACAAGGGCAACGATTAATAAAAGATCAATGCCTATAAAAGTCTCATGCAGATGGATTTGGATAGCTTCACCTGTTTAAGTCGAAGGATCTCCTGTGCCGCCTTTTCTTCTGCTCTCCTCCTTTCCTCCATCTCCTTCTCATTGATGACTGGGGAAGGAGGAGGCTTCTCCTGTTTCTTGCTCTCTAGTTTCTGGATTATCCCCCTCAGAGCGCCCAGCTCAGCACCGGCAGCCTCTCGCTCCGCCTTGAGAGTCTCTCTCAGAGCAGCACTCTCCCTTGTCTTGTCAAACACAGAAATGTGATGAAGAACAAACTCCAAACGAGTTTAGTGTTTCACACTAACATTTCTCTGCGCCCCACCTGTTGGTCTACTCTCAGCTGGAGCTGCATCAGCTTCACCTCCATGCCCTTGTTGAGCTCCCTGTAGCGCTCCACTGAGCGAGCCTCAGCCTTCAACCTCAGCAGCTCTCTCCTGCTGGCCTTGCGGCGTACGCAACACTGCATGAACACCACCGCGGCAAGCACCCGCTGGTACGCCCGCCTCGCAAGCCAACCACGAACCCTCGCCTGAAGCATCACTGCAGCCCTCTCTGCCACCAGCTGAAAGCAAAATGAAATGTTCTAATCTGTTCAATCCAGCTAGGTTTAACTGATAATCCACATGTTCAGATCTCCATAACTAGAGCCACAAACTAAAGGGAGTATAAAAGGCCGACCTGTTTGTATCTACGACGGGCCAGCGTCCCTCTGGTGAAGGCTTGGATGGTGATGGTGGACTCCCGAATCATGAGGAAAAGCTGTCTGACCACCAGCATCCGGAAGGTCTTTTGGATCACAATGGCAGCCTTAGTGTAGCGCAGGGTCAGAGCCAGTCTGTGGACACACAACAAATGAAGAAAACATTTCCCAAAGTGCAAACATGAACTGGTTTTAGTTAGAAAACATGATTTTAATCATGGCATAAAAAAAGCTGTTTTGCCACTTTTAGACTATGAACGAAGAGGATTTTGTTACAAAACAAAAGTAGTTCTTTTAGAATCCATTTGTAAAAATCTATGGACCCTTTACTTCAATTTCACAGACTTGCTAAATTTAATGTAGATGCATCACTTCAAATCCCAATAAAAGTTAAAAATGACTAAAGTACAATGGTTTTAAAGGTTTCCATATGATATGATGGGCAGATATAACATTATGAGAGGTTCACAGACTAAGTTGTTTAATAATAAATCCATCCATCCATCCTCCTCACCTCCTGGCCATAGCTCCTCGTATGTATCTCTGGATGGTAGCAGCTGCCCAGAGGATCCTCCTGTATCTGATTCGTGCCAACCAGCCTTTGACCCGGCTCTGGATGACCACAGCAGCGGCACGCAGCCTCTCAGCTCTCAGCCTCTCCAGGACAGCCACTTGACCTGCTCGGAAGAAAACTTTGGTCTTTCCAAAGCAGTACTGGTCTGTGTCTGGGATCAGCTGAGGCAGGGCCTGTCTGCAGGAGGCCTGAGCCTGGTCCTGGTTCTGGTTTCCACGGAGGAGAAGACGGTACCTGCTGAAGAACTCTTCGTATGTCCATCTAAATGCACAATGCAAAGAGATAAAAAATTAACTACACAGATTTTAGATTTCCTGCTACCTACTTCTGATAGTCTCTATTAATTTATGTTGAATTATAATGGTTTACAAAAAGATCTGTTTCTAACAAGATTTCAGCACCTGGATGGATAACCTGCTGCACTGATACGGATGGTCTCCAGCACCCCACAGGCTCTCAGCTGCTGCACCGTCCTCTTTGGGTCAAACCTGCAAAAGCAGAGAAAGTCTCTTCTGAGTGAATCCAAAAGGCACTTATGTAACATCTTTATGGTGTGACAGAACGCCGCTGGAGACTCACAGAAAAGGTGCTTTTAGGTCGTTGGGTTTAATACAGCGAACATAGTGAGGGGTGGTGCTGTTCAGAGTTTCCATTAACATCTGTAAGGACTGACGGAACTGATAGAAACAAACCAAAACTCCATAAGACCGAGTCTTAATGTAACACTTTTTTTTTTTTTTTAAAGCAGTTATGGTACCTGAAAGCCCACAGTGAGCTTGTGCTCTCTGGAAGCTCTTTTCCCAGAGCGAACACTCCCATTGGCCACAGACGGAGCACCTCCCAGCTGCTGGAACAGCTCAGCCACCAGCTCAGACTGACACATACAGACAGATTGTGGATGCACTATTTATCAAGGGGAAAAATAATGTTACCTTCTAAATCTGTTGGACATCTACCTGACTTGCTTTGAGAATGTTAATAAGCTCCTCAAACACAGTGTCTCTATTCTTGTCCAGGAAGCCACTGCATTCATATTGCACCTGATTTAAGGCGAGGGAGATGTTTGGTGTCAAAAGAAATAAGAAAAAGAGAGAGAACATAAAGTGTTTTTATGGTTATAAATGACTAGGATCAAATCTCCCTTACTGTGTCAGCAAAGTGGAAAACAATGAAGGCGTTGTTTGTCATCCTGGGTTTCTGGAAGTGAGGATTGGGCTTACTGGTCAGGTGATGGTCGTACAGCTTTCGTGCCCAGTTTTCATCAGAGCCTTTAGGCATCTGGAACATTCAGGAAAAAAAGCAGCCATCACAAGATTTTAAGTTTTCCACCAAACACTGCAAATAATAGCCTATATCATACAGCCACCAGATTTCTAACTTTAACTGCTTGCATCAACCTTCTCCAGCTGACTGTGGGCTGCCCCAAAGTATTCCCAGTCTATACTAGCAGTGTAATCTGGTTCTGCCCCCTCCTGGTGGGACATCCCCAGAAAACCTCTAAGGGGAGGAACAGAGGGGGCGTCCTGATCAGATGCACCTCAGCTGACTCAACTGAACGAACAAAAATAGAAAAGCTCTGTGTCCTTTGAGACTGCAAATCTTAACTGCAAACATTTCAAAAAGGCAGTCGGGAATATGATCACTAACGGCAACACAGAATCAAATGGATGAAGATTACAGATTCGTTTTCATCCATAAAAATAAGTCTTTATTCAGAGTCTTTTTTCCCCCGGATTTAATTAACCAATCAAACTGGACCTAAAAAGAAGCAAGAGGTAGATGCTGAAGGATCAGGATGCAATCCAGTTTAAATCTCTTCATGTTTCCTTTAGGAGTATAGATCTGCTACTGCAGTCCATCAATCACCAAAAGTTTCTCCTGCATGTTTAATCACTGATATCTAGGATTGATTCCCTTAATTTAAAATAAAATATATATTTCATATCAGTGTATTAACTTCTCCTCCATCCACTGCATGTGTAGCGTTAGCATGAAAGGACTTTCAGGACCAAACGATAATTGCAGACTTTGAGTTTGAGCTGTGCAACATTGTCTGATGTTTAACATACAGCTTCATTATCATACGGCAGTTAAACCATTAATAATAGCTATGTTAGACACAATCACTGTATGCACTAATAATATAAAGTATCCTGGTGACACTGTTGCTAGGAAGATTTCATGGCTGCCTGAAGATTCTTTTTGTTTTCTGCATATTAAACGGTTTAGAAGATGGAAACGAATAAAACTGTCAAAAGCCTGAAAAAGATGAACCCAATAGAATGTTATAGAAATGAGGAGGCATTTTTGAGTATAAAGCAAACAAAAAGACAAACCCTGCACTCCTCATCCAACAGGTCAAATATTCCCAGGGGACCTTCAATCAGACTGATACACTCCTGGTTGTCGCTGAATTCAATCCGATTCCAGGCCAGCTCCTCGCGGACGTACTCCTCCTGCTCCAAGTGGAACACATGCTTGAAACAAAAAGAAAATAAATAATGAGGGTGTATTTAGGAAACTGTTATGATAAAAAAAATAATAATAAAGCTTTTCGCTCCACCTTATCACTCCCTGATGGATTTCAGGTCATACTTAGAACAACTTTACACCATTTAGACACGTTTTCTGACTGACGGGTTACTTAGTGATGTTTCTTTGAACGTTTTTTTTTTTGCTTTTTATTTTTTTGGCAGGTGAAATGAGGGGGGAGTAAAAACAAAAATTTATACTAAATAAAATATGAATAAAATCGTTATTAAAAGAGGTAAATCTGAATAGAAACGAAACGTGACATTGGATTTAACCTTTCACACTGCATATCATGAGATTCAACTGCCCAGCATTACCAAGCTCTGCTAACATTTTCTATCCCACATCACTGTCAGATCTGTCCAGAAATAATTTGGTTTTCACCACAGTTTCACTTCTATGTACCAGAATAAAAACAAAGCCTTTTTGATTTTATGTTATTAATGGTTATAAATGCCTCTAATTTTGCTATATGTGTTATTGATATTGAATATTTGCTTATTATTGTATTAGACATGATTCACATAAAAGGAAGGAGATAATTGGTTATAAAGGAGGCAAGGCATGAATAAAGAGAAAAAAAAAAACACTGATGTGTAAATGGGAATTTTAAAGCATATACTGTAGTTAGGTTCAAAGAAAAATATAACTCACCCTGTTAAACTGCTGCTGTAGTTTTTCATTTGCATAATTTATACAGAATTGCTCAAAGCTGTTCTGATCAAAGGTCTCAAACCTGTTTCAGCAAATGGAAAGAAGGACTTGTCAGGTTTAAAAAGATGCAATATGATGCCAGAAGTTCTTATACTAAATCTCATCACTGACCCATAGATATCCAACACTCCTATGAAAGACTTAGCCTTCCCCTTCTGCGACTGCAGGGCTGAGTTGAGCCTTCGGACCGTCCAGGTGAACAGCTGACCGTAGATGTGTTTAGCGAGAGCATCCCTAGCTTCCAGAGCCTGCTGACCAGTCATAGGCTTCACCAACATCTCCCCCCCTACCGCCAGTCTGCGGCTGCACAGCCAGTGAGCCATCTGAGCTCGCTCCACTCCTAACAGCTTGGAAAAGACGGCCAGAGAGCGGTCCTCTGCCTGAGGAGAAAAATAACAGATTTTGGCCAAGAGGAACATAAAAATCTAATTAGCCCACTTGTTAGATCATTAAATAACTGTAGAAGAAAGAAATTACTTAAACAGAACCTGTCTGACAACATGAAGCAGGGAAAAGATCTAAAAAAGCAACACCTGAGCTAAAGAAACAAAGTTTTATATTTATCAGTCTAAACAAGGTTAAAAACATGTTTGCCAAAATGCATCTTTAAAACAAATAATATGAAGAACATGAAATTAAAGTTGACATGAATTAGAATGAGATGCTTTGGGATGATTTATACAGTTGTTCATGCTTAGAGTTTTAAATGATGACCTGATGTAACCAGTTTTTGACTTTTCTACTTGATTCCAAGTGGATTTAGTTTGACCTCTAATATGTTAAAGATATAGTGGAGGATCTTCGCAAATTTTTGAAAAGACCCGCCCTCTCCACTGTAAAATGCACATGCATAACCCTGCACCCGCTCCAACGCCTATTAAACACATGTGAGAGCGTGCACAAGCCCATTTCACCTCGTGCACGCTCTGTTTAAAAGCTGCTGTTTGCATTGCTCATAAAAGCTTACTTTACCACCGGTAAGTAAAAATGGGGACGAGCATGTAGGACGGCCTTATTTAAACATATCACCAGAATGATTGACAATTAGGAGGACCGCTTATTTTGTTGATCCACCCAAAAAATGAACATCCTCCACTATACATTTAAAATAATCATAAGGGTTCTGTTCATATAATTTAAAAGTCTTTATGGTGATTTATGCAACTATGACAAAAGCAGTGTGGAGTATTTATAATTTTTTTCCCACAGCACAGTGGAGAGATGAGGCAGGAGGAGAGAAAAGGAGAATTTCTGTTACGTCGATGTAACTTCTGTCAGAGCTTCTCCCGCTGGCTTGAATGTTGACGTTTCCAAGGTGAAGAACAGCCGACAGGATCCTGAAGAGCTCCATTTGTTGTTCAGGCTGCACTCCTGCAGATTCAGCACAGGACAGCTGAAGTTTTTCCGCCTTCTTAATGATCTTCACATCTCTACGATTATGCATTCATATTCAAGCAAAGAATACCTAAAATGGTGAAAGCATTGCGAGTACGCTCCAGATCTGACAGATCATCTGTCCCAGGAATTTGCATCTCTCCTCCCTGCTTCGTGTAGCGGAAATATTCAGGTGGCTCTAAGGTTAAAAAAAAGAAGAAGAAATAATCCAATTAAAGATCTGTCTATTACTATGAGGATAAATGGGAACCGATTGAAGGCAGAGGCCCACCCAGCTTGAGTGATCTCATTTCTGGCTGTTCTCTGGCTGCACACAGCTGATAGAAGATGTGGTAGTTTCTCTCTGACGATGCCTGAACAGAAAGATGTGTGAATATGTGCATAAATAAAGGCTTTAAGTTGAGCATGGTAAAAACAAAAACAAATCCCACCTGGAAAACAACCCTCGACTTCTCCAGCAGGTATGTTCGCATATTAGCCCTGATGATGTCCCCCTTCCTGCCAAAACCAATCTCTATGTACTTCCCAAAGCGGCTGCTGTTGTCATTGCGAGTGGTTTTAGCATTCCCTATGGACTGCAAATTAACAGTCATTGATTACACCTAACCTTTAAGAAGTGAACATATCCATGAGTGCAGGATCCCTCCCCCTCTACCTCCATGATGGGGTTGGAGGCCAGCACCCTCTCCTCCACACTGGTCTGCTGAGCTGCTCCTCCAACCACAGCAAAGTATCGCATGGTAAATTTGGCTGAAACCGTTTTCCCTGAGCCAGACTCCCCACTGATGATAATGGACTGATTCCTCTCCTCCCTGCACACAAAAACATTATTTATAGATGTAGAGCATTCAGAAAGAGCGAGCTGGACTTTTGCTTGGTGATTCTCACCTGATCATGGTGCGGTAGGCCTCCTCAGCCACAGAGAAGATGTGAGGCTCCATGTCAGCCATGTCCTGACCGCTGTAAGCATCTATCACCTCCTCACCATATATTGGGAGCTGATCATAGGGATTTATGGCCACCAATACAATACCTAGAGCGACAGGCATAGAAAAGAAACAAAAAACAACTTCAAATTATATCTACAGTAGCTTCTAAGTCCAAATCCTAAAAATGCATGGAACATCTTGAGGCTTTGTTCGTAAAGCTGGTCTCTATATAAATTCGGATTCGTTTTATTTTGAAACGGTAAAGCAAAAGTTCTACTTATTGAAATGATTAGTGCATCTTTAACAAAGTTCAACCCATTCGTAAATGCAAGCCCAAAAAGTAGTCTACTCAGTCTATCTAGCAGCAGTTTGTGGGGGGAAAAATTGTTGAACTTATTTTATCAATTTGTTATAATTTACTGTATATTACACACTGGCTTAATGTAAATATAAAACAGTGATAGCAGCTTATGCTGTGCGACTAGTCCGACTCACTTTTAACAGGACAAAAACCCAAAGAATATTCATATGTTAGAAACTTTAGCAAAACTTCTACATTTTTGTCCACAGATGCTTTTTATACAACTGATAAAGTTTGGTTTGTGTTTAGAGAAAAAAAGAGGCAAAAATGTAGGATTCTTGATGTGCAAACCTGCTAAATATAAACCTCAAATTTAACATTGAAAATTATCAATGTTTGAGTTGAAACTGTACAAATTGTGCCTTTACAAATACTTTTGCAGGCTGATTTTGAGTGAATATGGCTTCTTAGTTGTCTGTTTTTCAACTGTCTGAATGAGGGAGTTATCTTCAACCTTTGAGTTTATGATTAGGGCACATTATGGGCTATAACAGGTCAAACAGAAGCCGTCTACTGTTAGCATTACTGTCCCAAATCTGTTCGACCTTCATCCACCCAAGTTGCCCTACATTAGTCTGGATCAGTCCAAATGTTTCAGTGATCTGTACCCCACTGTAATCTGGTCCTGCTTTATTCTCACCACAGTATGTGTAGATGCTGCTGTAGTCCAGAAACCGGACTCGGAGGTTATGCAGCACAGCAGGCTCATGTAGGAAGCTGAGAGCTGTCAAGTCGTTCTCCCCCTCCAGGATGTCTGGGTTCCCAAGCGGGGGGAGGTCAGACGACGACTGGACCAAGTAATGCACCTCCTATCAAAAGGGGTGCAAATTCATTCGTATTCATTGTCAAAGTGATTTTAAAAAGATAACCTGGACATTTATGAGAAATAAGCAAAACGAGGGCTCACGTTTCCATTCTGGAGCTTCAGCAGCAGCTGCTCTTCTCCAGGTTTATAGTCCCTTAAGAGGGTGGCGGACACCCAAACTGCTTCTGGGTCAGGGACCCACACACCTGCACCCTGGAGGAGTGACAGACCTTTACAGGCATGCAACTTTAAGACCGCTTTAGAACAAGCATAAGCTGCAGATTGCAAAATAAAAGCATGGAAGCAACCTCAACATTGAATGGTAGAACATCATTAATGTCAGAATTTTATTTTTTTCTAAATCAAACACTGTTATGCTGTCACATTTCCTCAGCCCCACCCAGCCTGGAAATTGGCCCCCATCAGCACAAAAAGCTCTTAAAATGTGTTAAAAATTAACTGTGGTCATCCTCCTTCTGAGCTACCTCAATGCTTAACTGTTTTTACCTCAAACTTATGTCTCCTAAAGAATAAGTTCAAATAATTTGCTTTTATAAAAAATAAAAAAACTTTGTCAGGATAGATCCTTAAAAACAGATATCTAAACAACATCTTACCTTAAAGCATTTAAAGTTAAATCAAATCAATTCCCCAGAACTAATCAATATAAAAAAAATAAATGAAAAAAAAATCAAGCTAAGCTTACCTTTGTGTATAACTCCAGAGTCGCCATGTTTTTTGTTTTTTTGTTCCTTTTTTTAATCCTTTACATTATGTGAGGAGATTTGATGTAAAACAGCCCAGTCTGCATGTTCCTGCCAGAGGAGTGGCCGTATCCTCTGCTTCTCTCCAGGGCCTGCCTTTGTCCAGCTGACGGTGTGTTGCACTTTGTCCACACTCACATAAAAGGCAGAGCAGGTTAACTGTTAATCTGAGGCATCTGCATGTGCAGATTTCCAGAAATCACACCCAGAGAAGCAGGTCAATAAGGCTCTTAGTTGCATCTATCTGTAGAGCCGAGCACAGCTTCATCGTTTACAGGTCCTTGCTGTAATTTTTTATACCAATTTAACTGTTTTTAATCCTTATGGAAGCAAACGTCTTTAATTTTGCTCTAATATTAACCTAGTTTTCTAAATATTTGTATTTAGCTGTTACTCTGATTGCCGCTGATGCAAGCAGGGCAAGTAATTGTCTTCAAAAGTCTCTAACTAGTGGTAACCAAAGTCCACCTGTGTGTCATTTAGGAGTGAAGGCCTCAGGGCTGGGTAATGAACATGGCCATGGCAGCATCAGGCTGCGGGGAGACATTTCTTAACTAGATGCAAAAACAAAAATCTGAGAGACTGAAAAGCCCATTTGTGGTTTTAGCACACAGGTATCAAACTTCAGTCTTCTAAGTCAGTGTTTTTCAACCCTGGTCCTCAAGGCAACCTGCCCTGCATGTTTTAGATGTTTCCCAGCTTTCACACACCTGTTATCAATTGATAGCAGATTATCAGGCTTTGAACTGCAATCATCTGAATCAGGTGTGCTGAAGCTCGGAAACATTCAAAACATGGAGAGCAGTTTGCCTTGAGGACCAGGGTTGAAAAACACTGTTCTAAGGAAAGTATCCTGGAACTTAAAAAGGTTCTCTGCTTTAACCAAGCAGAGAGAACATGACTGCACATTAGGGATGTAATTCAGCAATTTGATTCAGGTGTGTAGGACTAGGAACTAATCTAAAGTTGTACAACACCAGCCCCTCTATGAATTGAGTTGGACACACCCAGGAATTTAACATGGGATGCCCAGCCCCATTTTTATGGAGCTATTATCCTAGATGCACCTATTCTCCAATCAAAATGGTCTGATCTGTCCCCCAGCCTTTGGTGTTAAGAGATGCATCCATAACATACAGGAATTAGCCCACAAGGAACTAGTTTAGTACCTCTGGTTTATACTAAAGTATATTATCTGTTCCAACAGTGGTTCCCAAACTTGCTGCTTAAGTTGATTTAAAAAAAAAAAAATGCCTGCCTCACTTGTTTATATGAGGACAAAGAACTACTTTGTTACAATTCTACATTTGCAAAGCACTGTATATAAAAGAAAAATGTACAGCTTTATTTAGATACAGATTCAGATTTTTATTATGAAACACAAATTCATGTCTGCTGTCAGCCTGCTCAGGTTGGTGATTCATGATTTCAGCTGCATGTATTGAACCAGGATGAAAACTCCTAGGAAAACATTAAAAAAAGAAAACAAAAAACAGCTCATCTGCTGTCAACAGTTTTGTGCGTGAATTTTTAAAAGGAGGCAAGATGTGTTGCAACACAGACGAAAAAAAAAAAAAAAAAGTGTAAAAAGTACCCAGATTATAGTGATGAGAAATTTAAAAAAATAATAGCTAAAGCATTTTACTCTCTGAAAGCCAAGGAGAAACACACCCACACACTGAGCATGACACCAGAATTGGAAAATAAAACTAAAGACATCAACTAAGAGGGTTCACTTAGTTTAGATTTCCACAAACGGATGCATTACAGTACAAAAACATTCGCCTCTAAAAGGTGCCCTAAACAAAAGGGGGCAAACACACCCGGCCGTCTGCTGACCTTAAACTCTTGGACTTGACATGATTGTCGCAAAAACAAAAACACATTCATCTGAACCTTTTTAGCAAAAATACATTTAACACTAAACACTACTTTTGACACATTTTAAGGAAATTTATTGAATATATATTTAAGTCATTCATAGTTGTCTGTTTACTAATTAAAAATCATCTGAGCTCATAAATAAAGTCATGGAGTCCCGTTTAAATGACGATACAAATGGATGGCAGAAGGGCTGCTGAGGCTGTTCTGGAGTGAGTGGACGTCCAAACTGGACATTGAGGGACAGATCTTCAGGGCCGCACTGGATTGGTAATCCTACGGTTAACGTTCCCGTGTACATCCGGCTTCCCCGGTGACCTACAAGAGAAACACATCAGCAACAAGTCATTTAAGCTGAAGTTCTTTGAAACGCGGGACCAAAGGTCAGAGGTGAGCAGTAGGTACGTGCAAAATGTGCTGAAAAATGTGATGCATTTGTATTCTGCTCTACGGAGACAAAACTTCATGGAGCAACCTTTCTTTAAAGTATAGCTGCTCGTCTTTCCTGAACATAAAAATAAGGTTTGGTGGGTTTTTTTTTTTTACATTTCTTCTTTGCAAATAAATTATGAAGCCAGAGTGACTCATAGTAGAAAGGCCTAGTCAAAGTCCAGAAATTCAACTTTTATATTTACAAATATGTATAACTGTGCATTGATTCAAACCATTTCACTGTAGCTCTGGCTCAATGTTTTCCTCTTGCATTGAAAATAATGTTTCTAGTGGCCTAAAACTCAAATCCTTGAGGGTCGATGTCCTGTAAGCTTTAAATGTCTCTCTTCATCATACTTGAATGAAATGGCTGAACTGCCTTACTAGCATGCAGTTAAGTTGTGCTGATGAGCCAACGCTCGTCAGATGTGTTGAAACAGAGACCCAGCTAAAAGTTGCAGGACAGCAGGCATTAAGGACAGAAGATTGAGACTACTGGTTTAAGCACAACTTTAGAGAAGCCTCAGAAAAGAAGTTTAATATTTGAAGAAATCCACCTGATTACTAAAGCAGGTGGAGGTGAAACAAGACCGGTTGTGGTGGCAATAACCACAAAAATCAAACCTAATTTAAGGAGGCTTTATAAAGTTTTCTAATGATAGTGCCACCTGTGGCCACTCTTCTGCTTGTAATTCAAGTTTTTTTTGTTTTTTCACCTAACATGGAGCTGCCATTGCTATACGAGTTGAGCTGGATGCCGGTCGCTTCCAATTATCTAAAGAAAATGTATCTTGGATATAACGCTTTAATCGTTTCCTAGATCAGGCTCATTTAAGGTTGACTTCACATCCTCAGACAGAGTGGGAACTTCTGACCCTAAGTACATTCAGGCAAAATAGGCTATAGGTTATAAATGCATCAATGCTGTCTGCTCATCAAACAAGAGTCGTAATATTATGAATAAAAAAGCCTCCTGCTGCGTCTCCATCTCTCAGGAGTTAAGTCACGTAAAGCACGTTGCAAACCCGCGTGTGAGTCAAAAGCCATAAACCAGCACCATGTTGCAAAACCACAAGTTTGCGCTTCTTTTTGGATAAAAATAAATCAATCTTGTTTATCATTTATATAACCTGTTTGTAAGCTATATGACCTCGAAAATATTTGCTTGAATACAAGATAAAAACAATAGAATGAAATTAGCACTAAAGACACTTTTCTATGGTCCGTACGATATCACTTAGCCTTACCTACATTAACTGAAAATGTTAAATCTCCCCAGTGATATTTGATTTTATGATCTGATCCTTACAGTTTTTAAATCAAAACCTAAAGGACTGTTTATATTCCCTTTATACGGCAGCGGTATATCCCCAAAAGCCGTGCCGGACTCGGAGAGCTTCACCGTTAAGTCCCAGTGCGGTCACCCACCACTATCTGCTGCTCGTACAAAGAACTGAATATTTTAGTACGATCATAAGCCTGATGAACTGACTGCACAGATGTTTTGAGGTGAACTTTCTTGATTAAAAACCTGTCCAAACCACTTTTTCAAACTAAAAAAAAATAAAGTCTGGAGCATTGAGCATCCAGACGGTCAAAGAGTCAAACAGTCCTGAGTAATGTTTGAGCCAGCATCCAAGGTTCTTTTTTAGGATGCCCAAAACACATTTGGTCTGAACGCTGCAGGAGTTAAAGCTGCATCCACAGGGAATGCAAAAGGAGTGAGTGATATTTGTCTTATCCCTGCGTAGCGGTGCGTTCAGGAGCGACTAATCGGTCAGCAAGGATGCATCTGGAGCACATATTTAGTGATCAGAGAGAAGCTCCCAAGTTTAGTCGCCCCATCGGTGAGCTGATAGATGACTCCTCTAGTTGATGATGCGGTGCGGGGGGAATTTCACCGCCGTCTCAACATGGAAGATTGTGTTTGGTTTAAACACAACAGCGTTTCTTACAGGATAGCATCCCCACAGCATTATACTGTGTTATATGATGGGGATGGAGCTGAAGGGCAGGGCATTTGTACTTACGCTGACATTTAATCACATACCTGTAATATCATTAGGCAATTGGGGGGCTGTACTAATGTTCATTTAGAAATAAAGAAGGGTTTAGAATGCACGTGCAAAACAAAAAAAAAAAACATGCATCATTTTGTTGTAATGGGAAATCTACATCCTCCCTGGAGCTTCTTGAACAACCTCATCAGACCAACCTGTGCTATACTGTCTCCATGTCTTCGTTGCTGTTGCCCTCCTCCTTCAGCGGCTCTCCTTCACTGTTGGCCTCCTCGACGTGAGCCAGCATGTCAGCCATGAGCGCCTCCTCCAGCCTCTTCCTGACACTGTAAACTAGCTCCTCCTGTTTCCTACACACACAAAGGTGCAACAGGAAGTCATTGGAAGGTGGTAGTTAGGGGGAACGAGGTTAGAATAACATAACTGAAATCAGACATATCAAACAGAAGCCGTATAAAAAATAAAGCAATGCAGCATTGCTCCCCATTTTTTAGCTGCAATACTACAATTTCTACAATATTGACAGTTTAAAGAGGAAATAAACAGCCTGGATGATTATTTCAGTAACAAGTTCCTACCGAATGTCCTCGTCTGTGACAATAAAGGCCTTGCACAGTGGCTGGGAAGTGTTCAGCCACACGCCGGGGTTCTTCTCCACCGCTGCAGACAGCTGCCCCGTGATCGGAGCTGCGCTGGTGTGGAGGGCGCTCGCTATGGCTGACAGGAGCGTTTTGTCCGTACAGCCTGGACCGACACCTAGGAAAGCAGCAGGAACATTTGAAATCTTTCAACCTCCCTCAGAAAAGTAAAAGCAGTAGTTAATGTTCGAGGATCTGACCTTGCAGGCCTTTGGGCAGCTCCATTGTTTTTACCAGCTCCTCTGCAATGTCATAGGCATTAAGACCACTGAGTTTCTTCTCCCAAAAAAGCTGTCGATGTGAAAAATAATACGTTGCTCCAAGTTGAAGGGGTAAATTCACAGCACACAAGAATTCAAAGTAAACACCTAATACTTGACATTAGGGTTTCTGAAACCAGTCTTTCTGGTTTGAGACACGGCTTTCATGATGATCACCGGGGGGCTTTTTACCTGTCTGGGCTGATCAACGGCTTTCTGAGGATCTGTCTTCACTTTGTTGTTGGGATGGTTGGTAACCTTTGTGACAGGCTGCTTGAAAATGGAGGCGGTCTGTCTTACCGGCAGCGACGTGTTTAAGTCAGGTTTGCCCTGAAAAGACAAGAAAACACATGAAGAAACAGAGACTAGAAACACGGTGCCAGGCTGATTTGGACTCTTCAGATAATGCAACAGTACCTCAAGGAAAGAAATCAAAGAACCGATAGATTTAGCTGCACGGATGCCCTATTTGCAGCTCAATAAGAAGGGGTGAAACTTGAGAGCACACGGTAGCTCTGAATGCAACCACGCACTTAAAAGAAAATGCACCATTTAGAGATGCAGCAAATCTAATTAGCATAGAAAACAGGTCACTTTTTGGGTGAGAGTTCAGGAGGAATATGACATTATGGTTGCATCAGTGTGCCATCAGCGTGCTTATATTATGCCTGCAAAGAGTCCAGATCAGTGGATCTGATCATAGGAGACTCCTGTAAGGATGCTGTATGATTACCAGATTAAAACTGCCCGCTTAAAATCCCATCAGCAGTTTAAAATTTGAAGAACTTTAAAACACCGCCTGCAATTTCATCCTAACCTTCACCTAATGGGTTTTGCTGATGTTTCTACTAAAAAGGCAAAGAAGGATGACTTGGAGGGATACGACTTATAAAGAGAAGCCCTATTAAAACTTTAACACTAAGTTCCAACAGATTCAAACACATTTCTGTCTGGATATTGCTTAATCTCAGCTTTATTAATCTATCCTGTAACCAGTTTTCAAGTATGTTTGGGATCCAGCAACTCTTAACCCTTCCCAGTTAAGAGGAATCGGTTCTGGACGTGCTGCAGGATCTGGTCACGCCGCTCTCCTCTCACCTTGTTCTGGTTGTTGTTGTCGTACCGCAGCCTCTGACGGTTCTTGTTCAGCTTGCTCATCAGCATCTTCCCAGTGCGGAAATCAAATGAGCTGAGGTCCATCTGGTTACCAAGGTAACGGGCCAGCTGGGGCTTGCTCCTAAACTTCTTCCCAGATGGACTGATGAGAAACAACACATTAGAAGAAACAGAAAGATCCTCAAAGGGACTCATTTTCAAACCATCATGCAACAAAATATTTGTACACATCTAAATGAGCAATGGGGCTAAAATCACAGAAATGAATGCATAAAATGGAACACTGCAGGGTTTTAGTACACTAATCAGAAATGATTATGAGGAACAATTAATCAAGATGTTATAAGCAGCACCAGATATGGATGATCAGCTTAAAGACGCCTGATGTTTACAATGGGAACACAGCAGCTGCTGGTGTGTGTAGCCTGATCAGTGGACAACAAAGGGTGGATTCGTGCTAGTATCTCATGCAAATGCATCTGAACATGACAGAACTGTCAACAGCAGTAGGATTGTACAGTCAGCCTACCACAAACTATACAACCGACCCGCCTCCCCCCTGTCTGGCCTCTGTTCCTCATCTTGCTCTTCTCCTCTGCTAAATGAGAACAAACCTTCACTTCAATGGGACACAGAGAATGTTATGAACATGTTGACCGTTAGGCCCAGTTAGGCCTGGAGGCTAAAGGTGGCCAGCTTACCCTGCTACAAAAACAGACCCCCTCCCTCCCCTTTTTCTTTAAAAACTTATTTTTTTATCTTATTTTTGTTCTAAACCAGACACACTGATCATCCGAAATCTCGGTGTGTGGTGCAGCCGTGGTGTGTTTTCGGTTATCAGTAGTTTAGTACCTAAAATAATAGACATCGCTTTTTCCAGCTGACAAACCCGACTTTCTGGTCACTTCTTCCATTTTCCAGCCTTTGGGGAGAGCAGTGCAATCCCACCTTTTCTTCTCCATTTCCCCCGCGGCTAGTCGGTGAATCCGCTAAAAGTTACAGTAAACGCCTAGGTTGGGTTATGAAAATATAAAACAAAACAAAAAAAACTGTCGCTCTAATCTATAACGCTGGCCTGGAGCCTTTCACGCTTTTGTTTCGACCATTTTAAAGCGCGTGCCCCTGGTAATGGGATCCTTCCCGGCTAAAAGCAAATCAGCTCTTTGTGGCCGCGCAGATCGCTCCGCTGCAGATCTCTGCCCCATCACTACCTGCGTGTCACGACCGCAGCTACATCCGCAAAGAAAAAAAAACGGAGCTCGACGTAAATTTGGCGTTTCGGATTTCAAAATAAAAGCTTAAGCACAAACAAACAAAAAAATCAAGGTGGGGGCGTTTTATTAGCACGTAGATGGTATAGAGAGTTGTTTAATAAATTCAAATAAGTCGACAGAACAGTTCATTTTAAACCTCACATAAACATAAGCGTCAATATTAAGTGATGATTACCACACTCTAATAGATTTATTCAAGGAATAGATGTAATTTTGTTTTTTTAAATAACTGCAATTTTGGCACTATTTCATATACATGTTTTGCAGTAACAAAATATTTTTCTCTGGGGGTTAAAGTTAAGCTTAATATTTTATGGACTCATTTTTAGCAGACATAAATCAATATTCAAACTCAACATTTACCTCAATTTGTTGTAGAAAAAGTGTTAATTAGCTACAGGAAAAAGTATACCTCTAATACTTTTGCAATGGAAAAATACATATTTAAACAGATTGAGAAAACATAAGAGCAACCAACACCTCTGAAGGATTCTCACTTTTATTACTGCAGAGAAATAAATTAGAAAATAAGCTAGAAGAAAAAAATAACTTTATTTTGAAGTACCTAGTAGGGAAAAAATAATCTAAGGGTGCAATAACTTTAAATGCAATTAAATTCAATTGTTTATTTATATAGCGCCAATTCACAACACGTCATCTCAAGGCACTTTACAGTTCACCAGATCATCCAGTCAAATTGATTCAAAGTTTTCTACCTAAGGAAAACCAGTTGATTGTATCGACTCATTAACTCGAATGCAATCACTAAGCATGCTTGTAGCGACAGTGGAGAGGAAAAACTCACTTTTAACAGGAAGTTTGTGTTTTGTTAGCAACTCATGTTCTTATTCATTTTTTTTTATGGCAGAAGGGTTTTCAAACGAATTCTATCTTGCAGACATGTACTCCCTTGAGTCATTTAAGTCCATTAAAAACCTATTTTTGATGTCAAAGAATAATATTCAGAATTATTAGATTTTATTTATTGGTAGTAGGTGGATTTATTTAGCGTTTGCACCGCTTTCATGATTATGTTCACTCTTCTTAAAAAAGCAGCCTAGTATTAACATGGCATCTACATTTTCATTTTGACACATTCATCTTGAATCAACAGCTTTTAGTGTTTATTTTTTAAATATTTCTTTATTTACTTACCTCTCCAAGTGTGCTTGCCTAACTGCCAGAATGACATTTAGCTTTTATGTTGAAAGGCGCCGGAAGCTGTTTTCTTTTTTGTTCTGAGCATTTGCAGATATAACATCAACATTAACGTATGGAGACCGTAAATATGCCAATAAAACACAGAGCGATCCTGACAGCCTTCATTATCAAGGCTGTTGGGGAAAAAACGCAGCATATTGTTAATTTAAACGATAAAAGAAAGTCTGGTTTGGCGATAGAGACCGTTGTCCTTCAGATTCGGAGCCGGCTTTTTTTCATTTCAATGAACAAAGTAGATCCTATGAAATAAACGCGGCTGATGTTTAATAGATGTCACATTTTCTTCTCCAAAATCCTGCTTGCGCTTTTTCAAACCGAATCAGAAATAGTAGCATTCATTCCATAAGATTATTACGCGTGGACATTTAACAGCATTTTAACGCATTAGTGCATCGCTGTAATTAACAGACAGAATTAACATCTTGCTGGATTTTTAAAAACAGAACGGCACATTCGCGAAACAACACACTAATGTTGGAGACCACTGCGTTTGGCAAATCGAGGATAATCGTACTTCCCAGGGTTACATTAAAGCAGCAAACAATAATTTTACAGTAAAAAAAATAAATAATTAACTCCTTTTGTCGATTTAGTCGCTGTTTAACATGTTTACTTACTCGTTTTTATCCATCTTGAGGACAATATCTCGCTTTCAACCTCTTGCTGTGTCAAATCCCTTCTCCCCTCTCCTCTTTCAGACTCCCCTCCCCCCTCCGATGTTAAAAATGAAAGACATTATCCACGCAAATCTCGCAGTGTAAAATGAGCACAATGTTTGGTCCTCCAGCAGGAACACACAAGCTTTTATTCTTTCATTCTTCTTACATTTTAAACTGTTTAAAGGTGCAGCTTTAGTTCCCTCACTAGTTTTTAGGGTCTGTAAACAACTAATCAGTGTGTATATATAAGCCTTTTGCAAAAAAGAAAAAAAAAAAAACATAGTTTGAATCAAAACAAGTTTAATGGCTCATCATTTACAAAATTTCTTGGACATATGAGGATAAGTTAATGATTTATTCACACCTTACAACACTGGATCAAAATGTGCATTTTTAGAGTGCATTCTGTAGCCTGCAGAGACAGGGCATCCTACTTGAGCTGAAAGGAATCCAACCGGAGCTCTGGTCCTGTAAATGGATACATGGCTCATTCAATAAAATGCATAAAGCACCGAACTCCTTACTAATTCTGGAAACATGCTTATAAAGCAGAAAAGCTCTGACATTGCTATCTTCACATGTGGATTTAAGGATAGCTGTAGCAAAAGCTACAAAAAGCTTATAAATTCAACCTATAATAAAATACTCCGCAACTCCTATTACAATACACCAAAAGAAATACTTAGATAAAATGCATCTAATATATAGTTGATTCACATAATGTATCAGTGTTAATTTATAACACATCTCTAGGTGCTGTTACACAAAAAGTCAAAACCAACCATACATAATTCTGTGACATACTTTACATTGTTTTAAATATAATTTCAATCAATAAGACTAAACCAATTACAAATCAAACTGCACATAAATAAGATGATAACACAGAAGGTACAAATTCATTAAAGCTACAGTGTGTAATTTTTAGCGACATCTAACGTCCAGACTGCAGACTGCAGCAACATGAACATCTCCCCCCC